CGCTCAGGAGACCACCTTTACGAATTACGAACCGGGTTCACTATTTTACCCGCACCAGTTTCCGATTCTGACATAAATCAACCCTTTAAAGGACCCGACATGGGCGGGTCTGTTGTTCAGCTTCGAGGCCAACGGCCTTTTGCCAGTGCGATCGCCCTAGCGCTCTCCTCTGTCAAAGTGAGCCGGTCTGGTGCGCTCTCGGGCCGCGATCCTGGGTCGTCGGGCCGTCATGAAACAAATGTCAATAGCTGTGCCCGGGCTCTAATATCTGACCGCGGCCTGTCAACAGCTGCGCCCGGACTGTCAACAGCTGTGCCCGGACTGTCAACAGCTGCGCCCTGACTGTCAACAGCTGCGCCCGGACTGTCAACAGCTGCGTCCGGACTGTCAACAGCTGCGCCCGGACTGTCAACAGCTGCGCCCGGACTGTCAACAGCTGCGCCCGGACTGTCAACAGCTGCGCCCGGACTGTCAACAGCTGCGCCCAGACTGCCGACAGCTGCGTCCGGACTGTCAACAGCTGCGCCCGGACTGTTAACAGCTGCGCCCAGACTGCCGACAGCTGCGCTCGAACTGGCAATAGCTTGGCTCGGACTGTCAATAGCTGGGCTCGAACTGTCAATAGCTGGGCTCGGACTGTCAATAGTTGACCCCGCACTGTCAACAGCTGGGGCTGCACTGTCATTAGCTGGGCCCGGGCTCAACCTGTGGCGTGCAGATATCACACAATTTGTAAATCTTGCGTGTTTTACGTTAATGAAATGGGAATGGTCATCAGGCATGGGAGTGTATTTTGGTTTTATAGGCACGTCAACTGCAGCGTTCATTTTGTGCATATCTCTTGGATAGGCAATACAAATAAAAAATTATTGCATCGACGCGTGCGAACAGGGTGCTCGGCGCTCTAGGTCACCAATCCTGAGCCAGGCGTAGCGAAGTCGAAGTCACTCACAGGCATGGGGCATTCAAGAGGTGAGTAGATTATCTTAAAACCTTTATGCCTCATGACATTTAAAACGATCCTTGCGTCGAAGATCGGCTGCTCCCCAGTGAAGGAGCGCAGGAACAGTCTCCATCCTTGTGTCGAAGATCGGCTGCTCCCCAGTGAGGGAGCGCAGGAACAGTCTCCATCCTTGTGTCGAAGATCGGCTGCTCCCCAGTGAAGGAGCGCAGGAACAGTCTCCGCCGTGCGTAGAGGCCGGAGTAAGGATGACGCCCAGCTTCTGGGCGGATGAGTAACTGGCAGTAGAAGATCACACAGCGGGATACTGTGCCGATTGACCACCAGACAGAAAGAAGCCGTGCGTTCCGTATGTGTGGCCGATACGGAGGCGACAAAGACTGACTTCCTCATTCCTGCTACTGCGGCGTGAGGATAGCCAGTCACCCATCCTGTGTTTTACCACCCTTAGCTTATGTCTTGCGTTGTCATGGATGTCTGTTCTCACCTGACCCCAAGATTATTGCCATTTTTCTTTCAGCTGGGCGGAGAGGAACTGGTTAAGATCAGTGAAGGTGTACGAGCGGAACTAGGTCGTGGGCCAGCTACAGCCTCCTTTGCGAAAGCGTTGGGAAAGGCAATTAGTCGCTCAAGTTGTATATTTTTCAGGACATACAGACCCCATTGAAGAGAACTTCTGCAAATATTTCGCAAATTGTACAACAGTGCAGTAAAACTTCTCAAGGTTTGTGCTTCCTGAATAACTACGAATTGCATGAAGCTGCATTCAGAGGCTGCAAAGACATAAGTTTATGGCCAGCGCCACAGTCGAGTGAGCCAGTTGGCCGGGCCGGCTGCCCAGCCTCGACATTTTATCATAGTTCATGTTTGGTGCACCCCACACTGTCTTCGCCACGGAAATGCGCATTGCATTGCACATCCATGCTTGTGGGTGTTCGGTAGTCACCAAAAGATAGATATTTTGCGTGAGGTCGTTGGTTAATGTACAATTTTAGCTGGGGTGTAACCCTACCTTGTGTTTGCTACGCAGTGGTTTTAAACATCAAAATTTTCAATACTGTTAAGGTGTGATCACCGTTAGTTTCAAAAGCGGAGGTCGACCATAACTGACAACGCCCTTAAACGCTTCCGCTTTCAGCTAAGCGAATAGTTTCCAGAGAGGGGGAAGGGGCACTTAAAAGGGTAGAGTCTGCCAGTGGTCTAAAACGAGGAAATCATTGGCTGGCTGCCCTGGCTGTTCCACTGCCCAAGCTCATGCCCCTGTTCCGTACGGCTTCTGCACCCCAGCTAGAAGAGTACCATGGCGGACCCTCCCCTTGGAGTTTCGAGGCCAAACTTTCGTGGCTTCATAGATAAGCCCCGTTTGGTCCCGCTGCGAGCCCGATTACGCTGATGTTGGCGCGCCACATCGCCGCTCGTCATATCGCGACAGGCCGCGGTCCATGGTCTTGGCATCGAGCCCGATTACGCTGATGTTGGCGCGCCACATCGCCGCTCGTCATATCGCGACAGGCCGCGGTCCATGGTCCTGGCATCGAGCCCGATTACGCTGATGTTGGCGCGCCACATCGCCGCTCGTCATACCGCGACAGGCCGCGGTCCATGGTCCTGGCATCGAGCCCGATTACACTGATGTTGGCGCGCCACATCGCCGCTCGTCATACCGCGACAGGCCGCGGTCCATGGTCTTGGCATCGAGCCCGATTACGCTGATGTTGGCGCGCCACATCGCCGCTCGTCATACCGCGACAGGCCGCGGTTCATGGTCTTGGCATTGCTGAAGGGCGACCAAAACATTGCTGTCGGTGGTTTGTTTTAATTTATCATGCATCATGGTGAACTTACACTCGTCTCAGCATATTTTTCCGCCGGCACCCAGCCACGAACCAAGGAGCGTAAGTGTGGCCGAATTTTCTTCATCGGGGGACAAATGTCACGTTTCTGCAAATTCTAAAAATTTGGACCCGTGCGCAATCATTTAGTACCTGTCTGCGTTAATTCTCTGCTCAAGGGGTTGGGGGCACGGCCCCCTGGGCTCTCCCCTTGGCTACGTGTCTGCCAGTCAAAGATTAATGGATGATGGTGGAGTGGTGGTGAAAGTGGTGAGCGGCACTTTTACGGTGATAGAACACCAACTGTTATTCTGCTTAAAGGAGTGTTACACATTTGTATAAGGCTTTGAAATAAAATGGACATCTTGAAGATCATTCGATACAATTCACAGTCCTGCCCTTCTTACATCAGCTTTTCCAGTTTATGAGCTACACGCCAACGAAAATCTGAAGCTTTTTGTGCAGACCATTTCAATGTTACCAGGCATCCATGTCGCCATAATAATGTTATTCAAATCCTGCTTTTCCACTGGCCGTGCACCTTCACAGCTAACACAAAACCATTGTCGAGACGTTCATATCTGGCGTTCGTGAGGACAATTTCAAGGTAAAACCGCCGTCAGTTGCTTCTCAGCCAATGTTGTACAAACTTTGCAACATTGTTCGGTTGTTGGCTGCTCAAATATCTTTGGCTGCTTAAATATCTTTTAATGTGGAGCATTTCCTGAAGTGAAAAATAATCAAAAACAGTCCCCTGTAAATATGCTCCCCAAAATGGCATCGCTTGATCACGCCATGAGGCGTTTTTATGACGTCAGTCGCTGCCAGACTGGCTGTGTCAGACTGCCACTGTAGCGAACGGCGTGACCCACTCGTGCTGCTTTTATGCGCCGCGAGGTGAGGTTAGAAGCCAAAGCATAACCATCTTTTATTCGTAGGGACGGGTGACGAACATCAAGAAGTATGAAGCAAGTAAAAGAATGCTGCGGCAAACTGAAAAATGTCCTGCCCTTCGTAGTTGTACGACAAGAGTAGGCCATCCGTGTTTCAAGGCCGACAATCATCACCTCGAGCAGTGAGTTGTCGCAAACCGAACATGACCGCAAGAGTAATAAAAAAGGATCATATCTGACAAGATGAAGCTGAAAGGTCAGCAAAGATCAGGCCCTGAACATCCCAGGTCCACGTTGTCGAGTTGCTAATACAAGCACGCCTTTGTCAGATGTCACTGCTTTGTCGCGTGCAAAGCTCTCTGTCGACTCCTTGAGTAGTGACTCATCGGGCGGCACCACCACCAGGCTACCAGCACCGAACCGGCCGTCTCCGCGCTGAACTGGGGAAGTGGCAACAGACCAGCAGGACCGGCCGCCTCCGCGCGGAACTGGTGCGGTGCGGCGGGGTCCGCGGCACCTCTGCAGCCGCCGGGTTGCGCTAACTGTGCTAACACGCTGCCACCCCAGTCACAACTACCGCTATACCACGCAAACCCGCGTAAGGAATCGCGTTTGTTTGGCTTTTGTGAGGGGAAAGGAACAAGGGATAAAGATGTTTCAGATGTGCAATCGCATTTTCTCCACCTTAATTAGAGGAGTCCCTGACGCAGACGGACAGAGAGTGTTCGAGGGAGAATGCACCGTGCACGTGACCTTTATGGATGTGGCCCTATATCCCACTGTTGCACGCATGCAAATGCAAGTGCACTAATGTAGACAATGAACAAATCAAGGAAAACACGTACAATCAAGACTGCAAACATGGGACACCTTTTTCCGTCTTGTAAGTTAATTGGCGCGCTTGTGTCGTACAACCCATTCTTTAATCCAGAAATTGAGCTTGCGTCCATGCGCTCCCTCCCTCCCCCCCCCCCCCCCCCACACTTTACGACCTGCGAGCATGCAAGTGAGGCCCGCTGCCGATCCACCAGAGACGAACGAGCCCCAAGTCAGTGAGACTGACCGCTGCAGCCTGTTGCCAGCCGCCGCTGGTCAGACACCTGCGGACCGCGTCCGTTTCCGGGGAGTGGATGACGTGAAACACGCCGTCACTTCCCAACCACAGAGCGGAGGCTCGCACCCCCCAGGGAGTCTGGCTGGTCTGGCGCCGCTCCAAGCCAGTGTTCAGCCAGCGGCGCCGCAGACAGCTGACCTCCTGGAGGTGTTCGGTCTGCCGCCGCCGCGCCGGCCGAGGCGACGCGTTCAGCGCCTTCCTGGGTTTGGCCTTGGGCGTTTATTTCGCCGGGCAGGCCAGGCCGTGGGCCGAGTCAGACGGCTGTTTACGCCGGTGGTAAACAGAGCACGCACAGGGCGGCGCGGAGAGGACGCGTCAGCGCGCCCCACACCGGCCACAGCTCCAAACGGCCATGGTCCGCCGACGCCGGCCATCAGCTCAGCAAACAGCCAAGCCGTCACCGCAATAGAAAGGGCACCGCAACCTCCCGACACACAAAACACCTACGTCAAAACAAGCCGTAAGGGCCTCCCCGAACATGGTTTGCAATAACCGGCGCTGTTGTGAGCTTGAGTCAATTTTTGCCGCGGGGAACAGTCCGATGATTAATCTCGCAGTCGCCTCGTTCGAAAAATAACAGCCGAATATTTCCGCGCGCGGCGAAAAGCGGAATTTTCACAAACTGAAGCGCCATCGGCCGGGCAGATTTCAAAGTACTGCCTAGGGCGTCAACCGCTTGGGGTCACGCGGGAACATGGACGTCTTGCGGATGTTGTCCAGACCGAGATAGAGCATGCAGACACGCTCCATGCCGATGCCGCCGCCGGCGTGCGGCGGGCAGCCGTACTTGAAGCTGTCGATGTATGACTGGATCTTGCTGATGTCTGAAATGAGCCCGGGCACTGGTCAGAAGAAATGGGCCCGGGCGGTGGTCAGAAAAAAATGGGCCCGGGCACTGGTCACAAGAAATGGGCCCGGGCACTGGTCAGAGGAGTGTGCCATGTCATTGGGGCCTTACGACACACTCCGCTGCTGAGGCTTTATGGCGTCGCCTGCCTCTCACCCTGGCAGGAAGGGCGGGCACCACCGGGAATCGAGCTCCGTACCTCTGGTTTCCCAGACGCGCATTGGTTGACGCAGATGCATTAACCACTACACTACCGGTACCCCCACCGGTCAGTACAAATGGGCGAAGATGGCGGACCGCGTACCGGGACGGAGACGGCGGGCCGCCGACCAGGGCGGAGACGGCGGACCGCGGACCACGGCAGAGACGACGGACCGCGAACCGGGACGGGGACGGAGACGGCGGATCGCGGAGCAGGACGGAAATGGCGGGCCACGGACCAGGGCGGAGACGGCGGGCTGTCCACTCACCGATGCCGTGGTGTTTGGCGCGCTCCGTCAGGAAGGCGGCATCGTGGATGCGCTGTGCGCCCGACAGAATCTCCTCGCCGCGCATGAACATGTCGTACGAGTTGCTCCAGCGCTTGTCCTTGGGGTCGGGCATGGTGTAGAACGGGCGCACGGCCAGTGGGTATTTGTCCAGGATGAAGAAGTCGGTGTCGTACTGTGGGCGGCGCGGGCGTCAGCCGGCGACCGGCGAGGTCTGACTCACCGGCGGACCGACAGCCTCCGGCCACACTGCGGTGTGCGCGATCCAAACATGGAGTGATAACACCACGAGACACTTCTTATCATGCTGCGTGTGCCGATGTCCCTCGTGCTCCCCAGACCCGTAAACGCAAAACATCACGTTCGCCTACCGTACAGGCCAGGCCCGCTAACTGAAATGCAGCCCCCCCCCCCCCCCCCCCGGCTAGCCAGCCCTCGCTAAACACAAGTCCACGGGGCATGTCGTTCCCGGAGCGGGCGGCCGCAGGGCGCGCCTGCGGGCCGTCCCAGTGCCGCCCTGGCCGGCCGGCCCCGACCAGGCCTCACCTTGGCCCGCACGAGTCGGCCCAGCAGCTTCTCGTTGGGCGTCGAGAGGTCCTCCTCGTCGCCCATCTCGACGCCGGCTTCGCGCAGCATCTCCACGCCCTGCACAAAGTCGAGCCGCAGCGGCGGCTCCAGGAAACGGAATGGCTCCGATGGGTACTGCCGGCGCACCGTCTCAATCTCCGTCTGGAAACTGACACGGCACACGGGTGTAACCGTAGCGCGTCGTTCCTGTGGCTCCCGATGCCGCACAGACTCGACAATGGCCATTACACAGCGGCCGGTCGGCCGGTCAGAAGCTCGCGCAAGGTCACGACCCAGACCGGCACACACCCGCACCCGCGCCCGCATCCGTACGCGCACCCACACCCACACACAGACGACTTTGCGCCTTAACTGCTCCTTATCGGTCACAGCCACCGATGCCTTTAGTTTTTTTTTGCGTTATATTATCCATAAATGTTCGCAAGCAAAGTATCCGATGCGTGAATGTTGGTCTGATTGGGCGTAAATGCTCCGGAAATATTCAGACTCATCATCAGTCGCATCATAACACCAACAAAACATTTAGAGGGAGTAGGCCTGCCAAACAGCTTCAAGCTGAATGTATTAAAGTGTGGACACACCCTAGCACCTCCACAATGCGTCTTTGGTTTTATCACCAGTATCTTACTTTACGCCCATCGGCTTCCGGGAATTTATAGCTTTCACCTGGCCGAGTGTGAGGGTAGCATAAAGCGGCACCTTAGTCCATTATACCACGGCCGAAGACAACGTCCAAAAAAGGCATTATTTCGGATGTTGCCTTTCGCTGGGGCTGGAAGGTTGTTAATGCAATAAAAATTGCCTGCCCACTCTAGGAAAAGGAGACTGATGGGCCCTATCCCCTTGACCGCGTCAGTACCGCGTGCATCCTTACACGGCCGCTGTGGTAGCTAGTGCCCCGGGTAGCCGACGCCACCGCGTCGCGTGTGGCCCGGCGTCTTCGGCGGGGGCGACTCACCTGTCGCGCAGGCCCTTGAAGATTTCCGTGAAGAGGCTGCCAATTTGGTCGACCACCTCGTGATAGTGGTACTCGAAAGCCATCTCCAGATCGAGCCCGACGAACTCGGTGAGGTGGCGGTGCGTGTTGCTGTCCTCGGCCCGGAACACTGCCGGAGGGCAGGTTCCGGTCACGGCCGCCGATGGCGCGCCCTCGCGCCGCCAACACAGCTCAACAGGCACGGCAATAACGGCAGCCGCAGGGAAAAAACAAAACAAAAACGAGACCAAGAGGAAGAGAGAGCTTGGTTGTACGCAACACAGCGTTGTGACAACAATCCTTGGGACCAGCAAAATCACTGGTGGGCTTGGAGTTGGCTTTTCTCAAGGCCGTCTCGTGCATAGTTGATCACCTCCCATAAGTATCACTTTTCTTACAACTTTGAGTGCGAGCATAGCTTTACAGTCAAACCTGGCGCACCAGAGCGTGTCGAGGCTGTGTTTGCTAAGCAGGCCGGGGCAGGTCTGCCCACCCCCCTCCCCATCAGACTCGCGACTCACCGGCACCCACCGTGAAGACCTTCTCGAAGTCGGACGCGATCGCCATCTGCTTGTAGAGCTGTGGCGACTGGGCCAGATACGCACTGTTCTTGAAGTAGGAGACGGTGAAGACGTTAGCGCCGCCCTCCGACGCCGCCGAGATGATCTTCGGCGTGTGGATCTCTACGAAGCCCTGACCAGAGCCGAGATCGGTCAGGGGGGGGGGGGGGGAGGACGAGAGGGACCGCCGAGACGATCTTCGGCGTGTGGATCTCCACGACGCCCTAACCAGAGCCGGGATCCGTGGGGGGGGGGGGGGGGGGGGGCGGGAGGCGGAAGGAGGGGCGGGTCCTAGCCCCCGGCCAGCATCCACGGTCCAAAACGACCGTTGGGGGCACCCTACGAAACAGCTACAGACTACAGGCGACGACAGACAGAGCTGAGGACACGACACACGTGGCCTCCATCAGCCTCGGCATCAGCCCACACCCGGCCTCCCCAACATGGACCTCGCCAGCGCGTACGGCACCCCGACGAACCCGTAAGTGGCACTGGGAGGGCGTGAAATGGCCCTCGATGCGGACACGTCAAAAGGCTTGCTAACATAAATCAGCAATCTCGCGTTTGGTGTGGATTTGATCCAGTCATGGTACCATTCGGCAATCAAGCCGGACTATCTGCAAACGGAGATATGCGTCGGGTCCGAAAATGTTGTGAAGAGATAGCATCCAACATAGCTGGAACAAGGCGCTTACAGCAAGTAAACAGCTTTCAATAAAAATGACATTTTTATGTCAACGAAAAATGAACCTCTAACAACCTGACCAGGCCGTATTCCTTCCTCCCCTCTCCCCAACTACCGGACTAGCCAGGGACACATTGAAAAGGCGGTGACCTCTGAAACATGACGTCGCCGAGCAGAGGCCTGAGTGAAACCAGAAACAATAAACAACACCGAGCCCAGCGAGCCAGCAGCAAACTACAGCGAGCGCAGCAAACCAGCAGAAAATGATGGCACCGGACCCAGCGAGCCGGCAGCCGCGCCGCGCCGGGTCCAGCGCCGTGGACTCCACGGCCCCGCAGCCGGCGCCGGCCGCCCCTCACCTTCTTGGTGAGCGTGTCGCGGAACAGGTGGCAGATGCCGGCCTCGACGCGGTAGATGGCCTGGCTGGTGGGCGTGCGCAGGTCCAGCACGCGGTAGTTGAGCCGGGTGTCCTGGTTGACGCGGATTTGCGCGCCCTCTGCCTCCTGGCGGCGGCGGCGCAGCCGGTCAGGCGGCCAGGGACGGAACACCAGCTGGAGGGGCGGAGCCAGCGGCGGCTCGAGGACACCTTCCGGAGGTGCTCGCCCACAACGGAACACCACTCAGAATACAGCCGCTTCTCAGTCGCTGTTCCAACAACGCCCAAGTTCTCGCGACCTGTACGGCCAGTTTGTGAATCCCGGGCAACATGGCATCGTCGCAGAAGCATCGGAGGAGATTGTACCCGGAGAAACGTAATGAACAAAGGAGAACGTATGCCAGTGTTCGGAGCGTACGACCTCAGCGCACACAACGAGCGTTCATGCTCGAGACAGACACAGACGGTGATGTATTCACACAGAATACATCATGGGGTAATCACAACCCCACACTCTCCTCTCACGCACGCCTTTCCAGCAGATTGAAAACGTCTGACGTCATTTGGGGGGGGGGGGGAGAACCATACCACTTTTTGAGTAATAGCAGCCTCAAATATTATACTTTTTGAGCACTAGCAGTCTCTTAGTCCCAGTACAACTGAATTGTTCCGGCCTTAATGAGATTCGACTGTGAACCACTCCCTACACACTTGTGACCACTTAATTCCAAAATATCGCAGCGATGTAAAGCATCTGCTGCAAAGCATGCCAATAACACGCCTTCGTGAAAAAAGGTGACGTTTTGTGCCTTTCAGCATCCTGTGGCATTCATTTTCAGTGCACTTCCATTTGTGTCGTACCAGCTTCCCGATGTGCATCTATATCCGTGAACGGCGCGCCAGCCCCGGTGTCGATACCATGATGTTCTCGCACAAGGCGATACGTAACTCTAGCCACCACGGTATGGCTTACGCAGCCGGCGGCCCACCAACAGCATGACGTCCCAGCACCCGCATACGGCACCCGTAGCCCGCCACCCGCCCATCCTCCGTGCCGGGTGCGTCACACATCAGGCCACCACGGCCCAGCCGGGCGCGGCATGCCGGGCGGCGGCGCGGGCGCGTACCTCGGCGTCGGGTCGGCACGCGTCCTCGATCTGGAGCGGCAGCTGCGGCTCCGAGGCGGACACGGTCCACAGCTGGCTGACGTGCAGCTCCACCTCGCGCTGCGAGCAGGCCTCGATGGGCTGGGGCGCGCGGCGCACCACGCCCTCCACGTCCACGATCGACTCGCGCGTCACGCTGCAGGCCGGACACAGGGCGAGGGCCGAGCGGAGTCAGCTGCACAGCAGTGTGGGGCGCCACTCGAGGCCAAGCTGTGAGAACGCTGGGCAGTGTGACCGGCAGCGAGGGACAGGACCGAGTGTCCGGGCATGAGAGCGCAAGCACAGGAGTTGGCGATGTCGGTCAAACGGCGACCAGCTGGGCCAGCGCGACGCCGGGTCACAGATAACTGGACATCCCCCGACAGCCGTGCAGCCGACAGGCGCCAGCCCCGGCCGGAAACTCACTTGGCGGCGAACCTGACCATCTGCTTGCTGGTCTCCGGGCCGACAGCCAGCAGCGCCTGCACGGTGAACTGCTGCTGGCGCAGAACGAAGAAGCACTGCTTCCCTGCGGCAGGCGCCAGCACACGGGCGAGTCGGCGAGTGGACGTATTAACAGTGCGGTGGATGTAGTCACAGTGCGGTACACCTGCATTCAATCTCAGTATAACTAAATTGTTCAGGTATTATTGAAGTCTGACTGTAAATCTCTCTGTACACACACGTCTGACCACCTCAATTCAAAACATCGTAGTAACTTGAAACATCCGCCGCCAAGCATACGAAACACGCCTTCGGGAAAACGATGGCATTCTGTGCCCTTCGGCGTCATGCCGTCCGGGCAGCCTTTGAGCGAGCAGACACTCTGACACTCTGAGCGGCTAGGCACTGTGACACTCTGAGCGAGCAGACACTCTGACGCTCTGAGCGGCCAGGCACTGAGACACTCTGAGCGACCAGGCACTGTGACACTCTGAGCAAGCACTCTGACACTCCGAGCGAGCGGGCACTGTGACACTCTGAGCAAGCAGACACTTTGACACTCTGAGAGAGCAGCGCACGTCACGGACGGAGTGACAAGTCAGACGACAGCGTGCAACACAGTCTGAGGACGCACACCGGGCAGACCGATAGCGCCAGTGCTGCGCTCCAGACGAGCTGCTTTCACTCGCTCCGTCCGGGCCGGAGAGGCCGGGCAGACGCCGCCAGCACGCGGCCGGGACCCACCCTTGGCGCGACTGGTGTGCAGCCGGCCGCGCACCCACAGTCGCTGGCCATCACGTTCTGCCGTCAGCTGCTGCACGCGTGCCAGCTGGCGATCCAAGTGCTCAGCAGATTGGTTCATGGCTGGCTGGCCGTACCGGCCGGCGGACACGTCCGCCGTCTCGACTGTATCGCCATCGGCCACATGAGACGCGTCGCCCGACGGCCGCTGGCGACAGGCAGGGGTCAGGCAGGTTCGGGCAGCTGGTCTCCAGGTGGTAATGAACACATTTGTTCCTTGCTGCTATGCTGCCTGACTTTTAGATGCAGTGCAACAATTTTTAAGTGTCATTTGGAAATAAATACATTACAGGCTTAGCATCTCACCACAAACAACCTTCCATCTGAGGGAAGATAATTGTCAGGAAGACACTATGCTTCTCACTGGCCACACCAGACCCTTCCTACAAATGTAACAAAACCCAGTGGGAAAGAAAACCCTAATGTACAGTAAGACAGCCATGATAGACTACAAAATTAAAATACCATGACATAGATGTTGCAAATAAATGAAAAGCTGAACATTTTGTTATATTCCCAGTGCAGGCTAACTTTAAATTCTTACTTCTTGTGTCTTGTGCTCAGCTTTCTTTGCAGCCTTTTCTGCCTTTTTGGCTGCCCTCTTTGCTGCTTTTTTGGAGTCACCTTCTTCACCTTCACTGAAAGAAAACTGCAGTGATATTGACAAAACGAAAATGCTCAAAAGCTATCACCTGTGGCTTGTTCACTAACTACCACTACAGTTGCTGAGCTAACGTGCACTGAAGACAATTATGACAAACTACACTGATGCACAAAATCACACAGCCTACACACTGATAAGGTGATATCATAATTATTACACATTGAAAGTAACATAACATGATGTTCTCATTCATAATTCATACCACATTGTGCTGTCATGCACACATTTCATAGTGGCTGATCTTCTGAAGTAGTGAATAAAAAAGAAAGAGCTAAAAATGAATACAAGACAGCTGATATCTTAAGCATCCACCGACCCATATTTCCAACTAGAATAATTGACGTTCCACATCATTTCCATTTCAACAGTGCAGGTTACGTCTACCAATATTCTTACCATTTCGCGGGTATCGCATCAGGATCTTTTATGCCCATCGTAGCGTTTTTGTTAAGACGGATGAACCACTCAGTTTGTTAACAGTTCTCACTTCAACGGGTGACAGCTTGTATTTTAAAAAATGCCAGCTGCTGATGCAATCGGCAAGAACCTGACGCAAAGCCCACGCGGCAACCGCCCCCACGCACAGGATCGAGGGAGGAAAGGACTTGCGGGCTGCGGCGAGCCTTGTGGAAAGCCTACGGCCAACGGGGCTATCGGCATTTGCTCCATTTCTTTTATGACACATACACCTTCAATGTAATATTAAAGTTTGCTACATTCTTGCTTGATGTTATTTTTTATAAATTTGTATACTAAATTCAAAGTTTTTGTATCAGAATAATCCCGGTATTTTTGTTTTAAATGACTAATAGTTAAGATAAACGTCATTTACTCTGCATAACTTTTCCATTTTTGTGAAGTTCATTCGTAGGCTCTATCTATTGTCTCTCCTGCGCAAGGATGAACGCTGTATTTTATCGTCTGCGTTTGCATTTCCACGGTGTTCCCCGTATTCCGACGGTTCCTGTTCTCATATCCCTCGGCGACTGCCCATGCCGTGGCTGAATTGGCGGCTTCTTCGGCAGTTCTGTTGCCCGGGTTTCTCATCGATCCAAGCCGGCGTCATAGACGTCTCATCTCAGGTGTCAGCGCTTTGCCTCTGGGTGGGTATCCATGCTCGCAATTATGGATTACTGAGTTGATAAGTTGCGTTTGCAACTTTTCAGGCACCGCAATATTACATTTAGGCATGACTGGTGCGTAGAAACTGCTGGTGTATCCGTCTGTGCAGGTACTGAGGGAGGGGAATCTGAACCTGCAGACATTGAGAAAGTCCCAACCAGAATCAATGCATGTGGTTCCTACCCATACCCCACAGACCAGCACTAATGCACAGCACATTTGCTCTCAGTCCAGACCGTAAAAATTGTGTTATTCCGGACACACATATTAAGTCATATCAAGCATAGTCCCAACACCAACATCACTATAAATGTAAGGGAATTTTCTTTGTAAATCAGAGCACTCAAGTTGGTGCAAGGTAAACACCAATTTTAGCACATAGAGGGTTGATGCTTCAGGTAATGATGCCTCAGAGGTGATTTTAGGCAAAAATCTTGTTAAGTAATTTTTTACACAAAATATGCCAAAAGCTCCAATTTTCCTGTTATGGTTTGGGTGTCTAGAGGCACCAAACTTGTGGAGGTATCTGGTGTGCTACGTGAATTTGTTACAGATAGGGGCTCAGTTCATTGTAACCTTGTGTAACAAACATCTTAGGTCATAGATTATCCTATATCTGGAAATCTAGATTAGTGCAGGGTAGACTGCTGAGAGCAAGTTTCATTCAATATTGGAAAATAGTTTTCAGGAAAGCATCATCAGTCTAGGTGACTTTTGTGTATAATCACTTGTGTGGCCTCTAATGGGAGGCCATTGGCACAAGTTTTCCTATATCTTACTCAAGCGGGGGCAAGGAAGAGATTCTGGCTCAGAATGATTGCCCCCATCGCACACTGGATTGGTTAAGGCAATGGGGGAATGAATTGAGTGTGCAGGAGCTAACATTATCATGCTATCCATGGCAATTGTCATTTACAGAAGCTGCTTATCAATCATTTATTGCTCCTGCATTTTGCTTGGGACTTGAAATGTTGTCATAGGCAGACATAGCCAACATTTTATTTGAAGGAAAAATGTCATTTTTTCTGCCTTCCCCCCCAAAAAAAACTGAATTTGTTGCCAATAACTGATATCACCCATTTCCTTTTGGAGAGACTCGGCTCAGGAGGGAGATGGGAGGCATCACCCACACAACCCTCCCCGTGGCTATATCCCTGGTGCTGAATGGATGGACCCCAAGTCATTGGGGTGGCAATCTTCAAATGGGCATGCAGCCCTGGCAGTGGTATTGCCAATGGGCAGGCCTGTGGGGGTCATGCCCCCTGTCCCCCATTGCTGTAGGTGTAGGTGGGTAGCCCTGCAATAGTAAAAGTACCCAGCATGTTTGTTACAGCACTGCTCCTGTTTCTGTTCTTGATCCTGAAACATTTTTAGTAATGGTAGCATCCCTCAAATTCCCATGATGGCTTCAGGCCATTAGGCTGTTAGCACTGACTGATCACGCATCAGTTATACATATATTTATCCCAACAGGAATGGCGTAAAGCATAGCCAGCTAACATGTATCTGGATGAGGAACAAGGTTGTGTTGCCTAGTCAGTGGGAATGTAAAATAAATTGGTTCCTTGCACAACCATGCCTCTTTTGTACATCAACTCATGCTGTTGCTTTAAACTACTTGATTAGAATTTTTGCCTTATCATGGCAAGATCTATTATCTAAATTTGTGTTGTATTAGGCTGAAATGTTGGTGTGCAAAGGTCAAGAGTTACCTTGTCCAAGTGCTTTAAAGTGGGTGTGTTAAACAATCAGGATGCTGTGTTATGCACAACTTTGTGACAGGTGGCTATTTGTTGCTTTGAACAAGGATGTTTTTGCTTGCCATTTCATGAGGTAGGATGTCTAAATCTGTGAACCATGATGATAATGACCATGATTGAATTAATGTGAATCTCATTGTGTTGATTTGTCCCCCCCCCCCTTCCCTCCCCATGTGGTACATACATATCATAATTGCCTAACTTTCTTTTCTCTGGCCATACTTGCTGCCTTGTTAACTGCAAAATTTGCTGATAAAGTATGTGTGTTTACTGGTTTTCTATACAATATATGTCACATTGTGAATCTGCCAAAAAGGTAGCGATTAGCAAATATGGAGTTTCATTTCGCCATCGTATTTTGCTGTGTCGTGTGTATACTTGTTCTTGACATGAGTCTCATATTCGTTTCAGTAACATAGCCATGGCCTCTCCAACCGTGCTCGTGGAGCTAAGCCCTAAAGTGGCATGCAGTGTTCCAGCCCAGCCAGCATCTCCAAAGCGTTCCGCGAGCACCGTGTCGGCGGAGCGGCCTCCCGGCCACTCAGCCTTGACCCCGCAGTCCCCGGGCGTGCCCCCGGGCCCCTCGCCGCGGCCCCCAGATGAGTGCCCGGGTCCGTCTCCCCAGCCTCCGGACGTGCCACCGCGCCCGTCGCCGCAGCCGGCGGAAGAGCACACTGGCTCGCCGCCACAGGTGTCTGGCGGGCCGCAAGAGGGCCGCTCCGGCCGGCGGCCGCCGGGCCGGCGGTGGCGCGGCCAGCGGGGCCGCCACTGGCGGCCGCGCGCCGGCCGCAGTGCGCGCGGTTCGGTGTCGCGCGCCGCGCTGATGGCCGAGGGCCACCCGCTGGCGCCGTCCAACACCACCGACTTCCTCATGGATGACCATGACGACCAGCACGACGTCGACCTGCTGTTCGACCGGTACGGCCAGCCGACGCCACGTGAGTCGCCGCTGGCCCCCGGCGGCTGGGGATCGGAGCCAGGTGCCGCCCAAGCCGGCTGGCCTCCGCTCGAGCCGAGCGTAGCGCGCCTCGTAGCCGAGCACATCCAGATGGAGAGCCAAATCGAGGTGCTGGAGGCGCGCATCGCGCTCGTGCGTCAGCGCCGCCACTCGTCCGACGACGCCTCTGACGAGGAGATGCAACAGGGCGAGGTGCGCATGGCGCCCGAGACGGCCACCAAGATTCGCGTGCTGGAAGCCGAGATCCGCCGGCTGGAGGAGGAGAACGCCGAGCTGCGCGCCGGCAACGAGCGTCTGGCGGCGCGCGGCTGCGGCGGCTCGCTCGACTCCTACACCAGCGACAGTGAGAGCGACTCGAGCACCACTAGCTCGGCCAGCAGTGGCTCCAGTCGCAGCTCGTCCAGCTCGTCCGACTCGTCCTCGAGTGATTCAGAGTCGGAGTCGCCGCCCGCCAGCCCGCGCCCGCCCGCCAGCGTCTGAGCGCCACGCGTGCGCGCCCTGGCGACGCCTTATGGAACCAGCGGCGGCCGCGGCTGGTCGCGAGGCCGCTGCCTGTCCAACCGCATGTCGATGCGGTGCAATGCAGAGGAGTTTGAAGTGCATTACAATCTTCGTTTGGGAGTGTTTTGTATATTTTTAAGACGTGTTTTGCACTCGACTTCTGGACAAAGGCTGCGAACTGCGAAAAGCCTGCCCCCTCTGAGTGATCGACCGACGAGCAGTTTCACAACGCTCAACATGACTTCCGCTCGTGTTCCCGACTGCTGTGCGAGCACATGCGCTGGAAAACGTATATTCCATGGCCTGTTGTTTCCAAACATGCCAGCTTAATGCGACTTAAAGTGGAGCGTAGGGTGTAGTTTGCTGCGTGTGAGTTGGTGCAGGCGAACGGTACTCGACCTATTCGATATACTGCTTTTGTTTCTTATGTGGCGCTATGGCAGATAAGCTGGCAAGCCTGCCATCGTAGCCGTTTGCTGTTGTCCAAAACAATGTGCATCAACAAAGTACAACATTTTGCCTGAGCCGTGACGCTTAGTTTTATTGTGCTTGAGTCAGGATCTGCTTAACACCTCATGCCTGCATAAATTGTTGCGTGTTAGGGGTTTGTGAGACTGTGACGCTTGCATCATGTACGATTGAAGAAGAAAACAGATGACAAAATTACCTGACTGATTGGCTGCGCTGGTGCTCGCTATCTTGCCACGAATGTAGCCAGGATCTGAGTTTCGTGTGAATGTAGACGGGATTTGGGTGCCGTGTGAAAGAAGCCAGGATCTAGGCTCCATGTGAATGTAACTACGATCTGGGTTCCACGTGATTAGTTGCTGATCTCGGGCCTGGGTTCCGTGTGGTTAGCTGCTGATCTCGAATCTCCTACGCCCATGTTCTCAGTTAAGCGCCGTAAGATCAGCAATGCCGTTGGAAAATCTACGTGTGTCCGAACCCAGAATTAGAACAGCAAATGAAGAGTCAATCGTATCTGTATGTCTACGTCCGAAGTGCACGTCATGGTGATTTCACCAGCCTTGTATTTTATGAACGACACGGTAGCGGGATCTGGTTGACGACGACCGGGGACAGCAAACGGAACAAATCCACCGGCACCAAAGTCTCTACTTAAGTAGACGCTGGCAAACGGGACCGTTTTGAGTCTCCCCTGGGGAACATTTGGGAACGTACGGCTCAGTCCTGCCCGGCATCCTGAGAGCCATTTGTCTGCGTTGAAGCTCGACTGTCATCTATCGAAGCCCCTGGGCCTTTCGTGCCCCTGATCAGACGCCGGGCGAGATGGGTGAAAGTCCCTGAGTCCCTCGGCGTCTCTGATCTGGCACTGTGCGAGATCGATCAAAGCGCCCTAACCACCTTGGTCCTGGTGCAGGTCCGTCCAGTGATGTAAATGACTGAGTTGACATTGTATAATCTTGCGCGGAGGGTACGATTTTGTATTTTGTCTTGAGAGTACGTGAGGACCAACACATTGCGCCGTAACATCGCTGGTGACCGAAGGCGCACTTTTTATATGGCACTTTGGGAACGTACTGTTTTGTTCGGGCGGCAGGCCTGCGCCATGGTGATGAACATACGACGGCATTACGGAATACTGCTTATCACCCATCAGGGGTGTGACCGTATGCATTTGCTGGCACCTCTATAGCAGTGCTTATCTTAAGAGGGCGGATATCATGAATTACTATTTTGGGGTGGGGGGGGGGGGACAATCCTCATAAGTGACCGCCAGCCCTGCCGCCTCCTCACCAGTGAAAACCTGCATTTCCCGACAGCTGACGCCCGATCGATGCGTATAAAAACGTCCAGTGGTCAAAAAGTCCAGAATCGCGGCATCCAGCGTTCACAACATCCAGAAACCGTCCAATATCCCTGGGCAGAGGAGAATCAGAAACTCAAGGCTCTCAGCGTTCAGTGTTCATGAAGTCCATTGTTCACAAATTCCAGCGTGCGTGAGATCCAGGATGCGTATTGAAACGCCCAGAGCTCATAAAGCCTAGTAAAAGAGTTCCGAGTCACAGCATCCAGCGTTCACAGCATCCAGAAACCGTCCAATACCCTGGACAGCGGAGAATCAGAACGTTCAGGCTTGCAGCGTCCAGTGTTTATAACGTTCAGCGTTCATAGAGTCCAGCGTGCGTGAGATCCACGGGTTCGGATACTGTCCCACGTCCTCACATCCCTTAACCTAATGGTTCGGATATTGCCCGATAGGGCGCTACCGGAGCTGATTTCGCCCGTCTTGGCCGACGAATGGCGTCATGCGGTACAGTGCTGCCCAGTTAAACCACTGTGCATGGATATGGACAACGTTTTGTTTTGAGTGCACCAACTTTCCCGCGTCAGCACGCTCTTGGCAGCAGGCGCATGAACACGCGCTCGTGCGGGGGTCAAATTGACCCCGCCCCCCGAAGGTTTTTTCAGAATGCTTCCGAACAGCGCGGCGAAGCGGTGCCAAATTTTGCATAGTTGTAGACAATTGAATAGCGGATCGTTCGGCACCAAAAATTGGGGTGTCTTGTAAGGTCGCTGACCCATGGCAGGTTAAAGCAAGGCCATGGTTTCAGCGAAGGCAATTTGTGGGGAATCCTTCAATCTGATCCAACAACGGAGTGTCAGACGAAGCCAAACGTCTCTGAGATGCTTTCTTAGGCAACACAACAGTTGAACGAGCATACTACATTGGCCTAAGGTCAGGTACGAAAGCTACACCAAGGTCAAAACCAACCTGTTTTGTTACTCTACGGCTTACTGTTTGGGGTGGCTTCTAGTGCGCATTTCGAGTTTCTTGATAGCAGGAACCGCATTGTACATCTTCCATGAACTTCTTAGAAGTCAGAATAGGTCATTGACCCAAAGTGACCTACGACAACATTTTGTTTAGGAACATACTGCCTAGTGTAATCTTTGTTGCTTAGTCGCAGCAAAACCCAGAGCAATCTTGTATGGTTTTGGTCACATTGACCTTCAAAAGATCAAACAAGGTCACTGACCTTGAATGAGAATGTGACCTTTTGCTTAGAAACGGTTATCTAGGTTCTGGGGGCACTGAAGACCAACATAGAACTTGACCTTGTTTGACCTTGTTGACCCGAAGGTCGTGACCTGGGAACCTGAAACTTTTATCTAAGTGAGTTCACGTACAGGTCAACACACCCTAAAAATTTGGTGTCTCTAGCTTCCTTAGTTCCAGAGATCTCAGAGGGGTCAAATTGAACCCCCTCACCCCCCCCCCCCCCCCCGGGCGAAGGGTATTTAGCCAGTCACCCGGGCGCGTGTTAAAGAAATAAAAACTTTGATCCCTGGCTCGTGGCATCGGAAAGAGGTCTTTACTCGGCGGTAGCTGCACGGTAATCGTGGAAAGCACTTGTCGGGGTGCCTGTTGTTTGGTATAGTGGGCTATGGATAAATTTGTCCGCGGCATTTGTTTCCGTTATTTACTGTGTGTGTTGGTGATGTTTCTAATGTTTTGAAGGAATTGATGTCTGATGTGCAAGGCTGACTGATTTGATGCTTGCTCCAGGTAGGCGCGCATATAGATCTCTAGCCCCTGGCACGCTAACCTATATTGTTAGTGATTTTATTTTGCTGATTCCCGTCCCTTCCCCCCCCCCCCCCTATTGCAAACTCCTTCACACGCTTCTGCAAACGGAACTTATTCTGAATTATATGCGAATACTACTACCTGGTGAGATACGTTCCATGATGGCTGAGCGATGAAAATGCAACAAAGAGTACCGTGATAATATGTCAACAAATTGATTTCTCTCCGAATTTGGCTCAGTTTTCACAAATCCGCAGGCTGCAACCCAATGCACGGCGGGTGGTGAAACCCCTGCGACTAAATAGGGAATCGCACTCCTGATTGCAAGTAATTAGGAAGTCAAAAAGCAAACGCTGACTGCGAATATATCCAAGTGCCTGCTACACCTCATGCAACACTACGCACGTGCCGCGCTTAATGGCGCTGTTGATTCGCCACCTGAACAGTGGAGCCGAGTGTATGTCTCTGAGCTGGTTTGCGATATATAAGCTAAATGAAATGGGAGAATCGTGAGCTTGTTTTCGCCACTCACTTCATCAATCTTGACATGCTTTCTTCCTTTTACGCTTCAGAACCTTCTAAGTACAGAAGTTGGGGTTCAGCAACACCAGTCTGGAGTTTATCGAGACGGGTGCAGTTAGCGCCGCAGAGGGGTGATACTGGGATGGTGGTTAGTGGTTAAGGTGCTATCTCTGGACTTTTCTATCCTGGGATGGAGTCTTGGCCACACGACTACCGCATCCCACGTACCTAATGCCTGATAAATGCGTAATAGAGGCGTTCCACCTCGAAACAGTCATAGCAGCCGGTGAGATGTAAAGCCCCAATCGGTGTTACAGCCCACCCCGACAAACAAGGCACCGCCCGCCAAATTTGCAGGCAATGCTCCCGCTCACTCATTGTACTAACATTGCAACAATATGCAACAATATATGTGGAGCAATATACACAATAAAAATAATAAATATATGCAAAAGGTGCAGCAATATATGTGGGAATAATAAGGCGCAATCGCTTGGACGTGGAGCTCGGACACACAGGCCAGTCAAGAGGCTGCCCAGCTCGACGGTCCGGCCGGCAGCCACGCTCGTCGCGGGCCGGCGGACGAGGCAGCCCGGCCGCCAAACGAAGAAAGCAGCCACGCGTGCGCCGTCCTCGCCCGAGAACGGAACCCCGCCACACGCACGCGAGGCCTGTCCGTGAGGCAGCCTGT